TTGAATCCTATTCCTGTTTGTTATAAACATTACTAAAGATTTAAGTCCGCTGTATTAATACACTTCCTTCTATAATTTTTAATGCATTTTAAAGTAATTTTAATGATAAGAGATTATTTTTTTTAAGCATCAACGTTAATAAAAAAAATTTATCAGTTAATATTAATTAGAAAAAATGATAAAGTTTATAATATTAAATATAATTTTATAAATTAATATTTTTTAATAATACAATCAACATTTTTTGTTCTTCATATTCACCGTAATGTAATTAAAAATAATTTTTTTTATATTGCTATAATTCTATTAACATAAAAGAAAATTACAAGTTTTTTATTTTATAAATCTACACTAACCAAAAGTTTTTTTGACTGTCAAACAATTAATTGGATTAAAAAAATTTATAAATTAAAATAGTATAAAATTTAAACTAAAATAACTAAAAGTATAAACTCTTTTTTATTTAATCTTCTAAATATCAGTAAGACATTAGTTTTTTAACTTGACGAGGGAAGTAGGCAAGAGTGGACCAAATCCCTCTTTCCTCAAATTATTTATAACAATTACATATAAATTATATTTTATAACTTAATTTTTAAATGTTAATTTTAAACATAAATTATATTTAATTTTAATTATTTTAAAGTTTAATTTAAAGTTATCAAAACTTAAGATATACCTTTATGATATTGGTTAAGAAATAAAAATATAATTTTTGTAAAAAATAAAAAATATTGCTAACAACAAGTATTATTAAAGCCATGATTATAAAATAAAAATAATATTTTTTTATTAAAACATTAAAATACATTAAATAAAATAATATGGGTGTATATTTATGTTTGTTGATAAAATATTTTAACTTTAATTTGGTCTTATCATTTTAAAAAAAATTTAATGAAAAACTTTTTTCTTTTAATGTTTTTAATCAAGGTACTAAAAGCAATAATTACTGGGAGCCAATAAATAAACATGTCACTGTCTCTCATCGCATGATTGGTATTTTTCCGTGTGCTGGCCGAAACTTCAAGCCAGTGGCTGATCCAAGTTGCACCTTCGCTGTCAATCACTACACACGTAAGCTTTACGAGGTTAATGGCTTCCAAAATCAAGATTTTTAATTAAAAGTGACTATATGAACTTTTAAGTATAAAATGTAATTATAATTAATAATTAACATATTTAGTAAAATTATGAAAATATAAATGTATATGTTTACATTTTTTCCAGTTTTAAATACAAGAAAAAAATCAAATGATATTTTAAACTTTCGTCTATAACATCTTAAAATTTTAAATTCTTTAAAATGACTTGTTTTATTTATACAAAGTCAGAAAAAATAAATTTTTTGTATGTGATCGAATTTACAAATATAGGTTAATTAAAATATTTTATAAATTAATTTATTTCGTAAAATTTGTCAGTCATGCAGTATTAACTAAATAGCAGTAAAATTTAATTATCATAATAAATCAGAGACAAATTGTTCTAATCTGGATATTAAACATATATTATGTATATCAAGTATAATAATTTATATATTGTTTGTCAAAATATATGGACTCAAAATAATAATTACATAACCAAAATAGATAAAGTTTCAGAGTAGCTTCAAAATATCTCGACACTGAGAATCTGGTCCTAGTCATTTCTATATCATCCCTCTATCTCCTCGAAATCAAAGGTCGTCATTAAATCCGAGATATAAATCTCCTGAGTTTGCCGCAACCTCAACTCCTCTGACCCGCTCGTCGGTAACTCAGGTCGACCTTTCAAGATGGTCATGATCATGATATATAAATAGATATGTGAAATCTGTTGGGTCAAAATCGTGCCTCTATAGATATATATACATAGGGTGTAATGTATTTTACTTACAGGAAAGTCAAAAGGGATATTATAATACAAGTCCATCTCTAACATAATAATATCCCTAGAAATATCATCAACATGTATGCTAGCTTGAAGTGACATGTCCTTTGATACTCATTAAACACATAATTAAGTCTATTATATACAGAACTATATACAAGTCTAATCCTCTCCCAGAATGCCGTCATCTTGGTTCCCTGAAAGGTTATATAGGATGAGCCTTTATTCTCATTACTAAGCATATATTCATAGTTAACTCACGTAATACAAACAAAGCTAACACAATAATTGATCATGCCACAAGATTCATTGATATAAAAGCAACAATCATTAATTTTTTAGCTTATTACTCTCCCTATCTATTAATATTTGGAGTTCTCATATCACACTTTTACTACCTCTGGAATTCCTCAAGGTCTTCCTTAACATAGATAGTTGTTGAATAGCCGTAACTACACGGATACAACATGTGCTAACCAATCCCCTTTTAGCAAAAGCGTGATCAGGAGTTCAAGTTAAGAAATAAATGTGAGGCTAATGGTGCTCTTACTCTCATTTGTTATGCGTAATTCAAGAAAAGCATCCATCACCTTCATTTTTCCAAGATTTTTCAATCGCCTTCATCTTCCACACTCTCAGTGTACCTCTGAACTATCTATATTTGTCTTTATCATATTCCTTTCTCATTTCATTTCTCTTTCCATATTTTCCATCTCATTTCTAGATTTTTTATTATGGATCTACTACTCTTTTCATTAATCATTATGGCCCAAACTCATTATTTTTTTTACTAACATATTATTCATCTTTTTATTTCTTTATTTTGCTCTAATTCATTATTATATCATACATCAATCAATCATTGCCGAAGGTTAGTCACCCCCAAATTCAATCCACAACATACATACATATATGCTCAAAATATATATCATACACATCTTCAAACACAACAAAAACATATTTTCATCCAACATATATTCACAATCATGCATTACATCATAACAATTTCATGAGCATAAATATGCTATGTTCTTAGTAACAAGATAGAACTCTTCTTACCTTGAAATAAAAGTTTAGTAAAGAGTTTTTGAGAGATCTTACTCAAAAGACTGAGTTCTTTTTAAATATCATAAGAGATCCTATTTAGAGAGGAAAAATAAGAAAATAACCAAAGGAATGGAGAACCAAGCTTCAAGAACTTACTAATGAGCAAGAAAAGTGAACTCCCAAGTTTAGATCGAAGAAAGGTATAAGCCTTTCAAAGATTTTTCTGAAAAAAAAAAAGGAGAGAGATCAGAGAAAGTGGAGAATGGTCGTAACTTGAATTATAATTCATGTTTCTTAACTTAGAAACTTTTAAATACCCCTCAACTTACAACATTCTCGCTATAGCGATTCTTGCTACAATGAGTCATTCTCTCGCTGCAGCAAAAAAATTAGAAAAAAATTTTCTTTATTTTCTGTCATTCTAGTTACAGCTCCTCGCTATAGCGAAAGAACGTAAAAGAGGTTGATTTTGAATACTTATTTATTGCTACAGCAAGACACATTTCGCTACAGCAAAAAATCCTACAATTCACACACCTAAAACTCTTTTAATTTCAAGCAACATGCATCAATAAATAATTATCATACAAAACAAATTTACTAAATAATAAAAATATGGGTGTTACATTGTCCTTTAAGTTTAAATTTATCTTTAAAATTAAAAAACATGTATTTATCTACAACAATAAAAAATATTAAAATATTAATTTATGTAATAATTTTCATATTGGATACATATTTTAATATAAAATTAACCACTAAAATTTATTAAATACAAAATTTAATTATTGAATAATTAATTTTAAAATAATATTAATAACAGATTTTTTATTATTAATTAAAATATATATAAAATTATAAAAATTATGTAGATTTATTTTTTATTAGATTAATTTTTTTCATATTTTTAATTTTCAATAAATTCTAATAAATAATAAAAAAATATACTTTAAAAAGTAAGTTGCTAGTATTTTTTAAAAATTTATATACTTTATAATTATAAATATTTGATATTTTACTTGAAAAATATTTAATTTCTTTATATTTTAAATGTACATATAAATAAAATGAAAATATACATAAAGAACATTTATAATAACTTTTAATAATTAAAATACCAAAGGTTCGCTGAATACATTCAAATAAGGCGACGCGTATGCAACAGATTCTTGAATCTGGAAGAGAAGTGGTCCCCGCTCTACGGTTGTGTCCAGCGTGACAAACAATCACTGGATTACACGTGTTCTATCTTAATGCAGCTGATGCCTGTAAATGCAGCGCAACACGGGAAGGCTTTACCTGGCCGATAGGAGATGGGAAATTCATCCATGACGTGGCGCATCGTAATTGGTTGACCTTGTGACTCACGGGTACACTGTTCTATTATTTGTCGTTAGAACTTAGACGTTGAACGATGTTTGTCGAAGCATCATTTTTGTATCCCCATTCATTCATTTCATTGTCCCTACTCACACCTAAATTAACTCCCTTTTTTTTTTTTCGTTATAAAATTGTGTTCCATGGGAAGTATATAACAGTTCAATATTATACTAAAAATATAAGAGAGAAAAAAGGCAATTTCAAAGATTTTATTATTCATGAGAAAAATCAACGGTTCAATCATAATATATGTGGATTAAAATGAAAATGTTAAAAGTTCACAAGATTTATTCGTGTTAAAAAATTCTTTTTGTAGATATTTATATTAAGATATAAATTTTTTATTTATTTATAAAATAATTGAAGATTTTAATAACGTATATTAAATTGTTTAAATTAATATTTATAATTTTAGTACTCGAACGTTAAGTTTGTTTTACTTTTACCGAACTTGCACAGGTCACCGCTGAAAGTTAAAAACTTTACATCACTTTTACAACAGATTTTATTGGACGAAAATACACACAAAATTATAATTGTTGGAGCAACCTTTAATTATTTTTATATATTATATATGCGTAATAATTTGAGTTGAGAGAGAAACAGCTTAGAAGGTGTTAGAATATTCTCTTATTCTCCCTTGCTGTTAAGATGACAGCAACCTCTCTGTCTTTATTTTCAACTTATTGTTAATATATTATGACACATACCATCTCCTCTTCCTCTTTCAAAGCACACAAAACACTGAACAGAGAGAAAGAGAAAGAGAGAGAGAGAGGAGAAATTCTCAAGTCTTCTACCAGGTATATTGAGATTACCATGTCAATTTTATTTTGCATTTTTTAACTTATTTTTGGATCTTTGTTCTTCTCCTTCTTTGAAAATTTAAAAGCTTGATTCATTTCTGCCTTAAAAAGTTTGAAACTTTTCGATTTTCTTAAAATCGGTTTTAAACTGTTTTTCTGAATTGTTTCTCACTGTCTGTTTTCTGAGAAAAAAAATGTTTACTTGCTGAGAAAATTAAGTTATTATTTCTTTAAGAAAAATTTTGCCAAACACGCATTAAATCTCCAGATTTTTTATTTAAGTGGATGATTGTTGTTTTGATGAGTTAAGATGTGTATATCACCCTCTCCCTCTCACGGTGAGAGGGTGTGTTTGCTGTTTTTTTTTTAAAAAAAAATCTTTCATCTTATTCATTTGAGGATTTTGACGGCAAATTGGCAATTTCTTTCTTTTTATCTAAATTCTTTTCTTCTAGAAAATTTTATTGCTGTTAAGTTGCTTATTCTCGTGACAAATAGCATGTTTGGTTCAAGTTTAAATTTAGAAAAGTAATTATTTATTTTAAAATTCATTGTCCAAAGCTGAAAAAAATAAATAATTATTTCTCTAAAATAAGTTTAATTGAACATACACTTAATACATCTTTATCAATATGTAGAGACAGGGACTCCTTAACACGTGACACTAGTATGAAAAAAGGTAGATAGATTGGCAAAGTTAGGTAAGGGATTGTAATGGAAAGTGGAACCACAGGCATATGGAAACGTTGCCAACTTAGTTATAGTTATATTTATGTTAGCCTATTTGAAAAACCTTGCAGAATTTTCTTTTCCTTTTCAAGTTCCATTAAACAGTCTCAATTTTAGAAGATTAACTTGAGTAGATGAGTGTGAATGTCTTGATTTTTGTTTGTAATTCAAAACAGAATGCAGGTCTCACATGCTTACATATTCCATTTTTAACAAACTGCAATTTCTGGGTTGGATTTATTTTTGGATTTTGACATCTTATATCTCTGTCATAGTTGTTTAAACTCGTTTTATTTCTCTTTGTCATGAATCATTTTGTCAAATAATCTCTAGAAACTGTAATTGATGTATTAAATACTTTTTCTTCAAATCTAGTTTTGTTTAAATATGATTAAAAGTCTCCTAAAGCTTTTTGTTGGGATTGTTAATGACTGCATATAAAAGAAGTTATAAAAATTCAAATGCTAGTTATGAACTTAAAAGTTTTGTGTAATTTATTTAGGAGATTAGATTCTGAGTTTGCCTCTTAAATTTGCTTGTCTTTCTTTCAGGTGCATCTTTCATTATATGTTCTGCTGCTTGGTAACTGAAAGGCTATGCTGTTTTAGTCCTTGATTATTCTACAAACTTTCTCAGACGTCGATATTCTTCAGTGTTCTCTAGTGTCATCTCAAAAATCAGGGAATGCTGAAAGATGTGCTTGATAGTTGAAAACTCCTTTGCTGAGGTTAATGAGTTTCTGCCTCCCCATGAGCTACCCTTGTTCAACCTTGATGAGATTGGATGTTTAGTCCACTGCCCATATCTTTTCTGTGCTCAAGCGACTGAGGTGCCAAAAAATCTCAGCCATTCTTTGATCTCAAAACATGATGTTTGTGAAGACGGTTGAACTTTGAATTTCTGTGTAGCAGTTTCCTGCTTCCGGCCCTGTGATTGCCTAAATTTTGTTCTATTGATATTAGCATTGGTTTATACAAAACGTATTGCTAGAAATGGAGCAGAAAGGAAGTGTGCTTATGCAACGATATGAACTAGGAAGATTATTAGGCCAAGGAACTTTTGCGAAGGTCTACCATGGAAGGAACCTCAAAACTGGCATGAGTGTAGCCATTAAAATTATTGATAAAGAGAGGGTTTTGAAAGTTGGCATGATTGATCAGATTAAGCGTGAAATTTCAGTAATGAGACTGATCAGGCATCCACATGTGGTAGAGCTTTATGAGGTAATGGCCAGCAAAACCAAAATTTATTTTGTCATGGAGTATGTAAAAGGAGGGGAGCTATTCAACAAGGTATCCAAAGGAAAGCTAAAGCAAGATGATGCTAGGAGATATTTTCAGCAATTGATCAGTGCTGTTGACTACTGCCATAGCCGAGGTGTGTGTCATCGCGATCTGAAACCCGAAAATCTTCTATTGGATGAAAATGAAAATTTGAAGGTCTCAGATTTTGGGTTAAGTGCGCTTGCTGAAACCAAGCACCAAGATGGACTACTCCATACTACATGTGGTACCCCTGCGTATGTAGCCCCAGAAGTGATAAACAGAAAGGGTTATGATGGAGCCAAAGCTGATATATGGTCATGTGGTGTGATCTTGTATGTTCTATTGGCTGGTTTTCTTCCATTTAGAGATTCAAATCTGATGGAGATGTACAGGAAGATTGGCAAGGGAGAATTCAAATTTCCTAACTGGTTTGCACCGGATGTACGCAGATTGTTGTCCAGAATCTTGGATCCAAATCCAAAGACCAGGATATCAATGGCCAAAATTATGGAAAGTTCTTGGTTCAAAAAGGGGTTAGAGAAGCCCATCATCACCAAGAATGACGACAAAGAACTAGCTCCTCTTGATGCTGATGGAGTATTTGGAGCTTGTGAGAATGGAGGCCCTATGGAACTGTCAAAAGACTCAAAACCTTGTAATTTAAATGCTTTTGATATCATCTCTTTTTCATCAGGTTTTGACTTGTCTGGTTTGTTTGAGGAGACTGATCGAAAGAAAGAATTGCGATTTACATCTAACAAGCCGGCTTCAATTATCATCTCTAAGCTAGAAGAAATTTGTAAGCGTCTTCGGCTGAAAGTGAAGAAGAAAGATGGAGGTTTGTTCCAGTTAGAAGGTTCCAAGGAAGGAAGGAAAGGGCCTTTGGGTATTGATGCAGAGATTTTTGAGATCACCCCTATCTTTCATCTAGTGGAGTTAAAGAAGTCCAATGGAGATACATTAGAGTACCAAAAGCTTTTGAAACAAGAAGTTAGGCCTGCACTTAAGGACATTGTTTGGAATTGGCAAGGAGAACAGCCACAGCAATTGCAACATGTAGTAGTGCAGAAAGAGGAACAGCCTTATTCTGGCATATCAGAGGTTGTAGCACAACCAACTGCATAATGATATTTTGTCCCTAAATTGAATTATTTTTATGTTATGTGCTTTTAGTCTTCTTTATGTTCTTGCTTAGCTTGTATAATTAGTTGCATATTTAACCATTTGGGTATTTTGTTCTCTGTATTGACTATATGTTATAAATGGCATTAGCATTTTTTGGCTTAAAATGGTGGGTGGTGCTAAGAATTTGCTGTAACTTTAATAGCATACTTTACTAAGATCCCTTCTTTATATTATTAGGGGAAATAAAACACGATCAGTTTTATTTTTATAAAACTCCTCTTTTAAGATTATTAATTTATAAGAGCAGCTTATAATGATTTTGCCCTAAGACCTTAAATTGAGATCCCTTTTCCTGTGTTTCCTTCCCATGTCAGCAACTCTGGCCAGCGGTAACAAGTAACATGAACTCAATTTAGAGTTGAAACATAAACAATACATCTTTGGTATTTTCGTGTTCAAAGAAAATTTAAAAGAAATTATATAAGAGCATGTTTGATTCTCTTTTCAAAAATAATTTTTTGTTTTTAAAATAAAATATAGTATAATTTATGCTATATTTTAATATAAGATTTAACCTTGTAACTACTTAATATAAAAAACTTTTGATCATCGTATATAATTCATATAAAATATTTCAATAAATTTTACTTTAATTGTTGAAGGCCTAACATAACCTCCTCTTTATGAGAGCTTGGAACTGGTTATGGAACTATAGGCAGAAATATAAAAGACTTTTCATATTATATATAAAAAAATCAAAAGCTTAAATCGGTAAGTGAGAAGAGACATAAATAGTTGTGAATTTTCAACAAGCAGCAGCTCAAAAAGCTCTATTTGGATCATTAATCAATGAAAACCTCTAAATTAAATTATATTTTTTATTCATTATTTAAAACAATCAAATAATTAATATAACTTTTATTTTATCTTAAGAAATCATTCAACTATGTCATCAAATTATATGTTAAAAATTCAAAATAAGACATTTGTGCAGTATAGAATCTAGGCTGTCCATCTAATCTAATCCTTTTACATAAAATAACGAGAGCATCCTTGGAAAGACATGATTAATGTTATATTAATTTTCTAAAAGTAACATGTTTTAAAATAAATTAAAAACCTAAATAGTCAAACTTTAAGATGGTGAAGTACTGTTTATCCAACATAAATATAATTAAACGTATCTTTATATATTAAATAAAATATGCCTGTACGTTATAAGAGTTTATTTTATTTTTATTAAATTAATTAATTTTAAAATATAAAATATATAAACATAGTTAAAAAATTTATTATGTTAAATATAATTACATTGAGAAAGATTATGAAATATTTTTTTATATACAATATTTTTTGTATATCCTATATATTTGTCATCCTCTTTAATAATAAGGATTTTTATTCCTTTTGTTGACATTACTCTAGACAATGCAACATATAACTTTTGAAAAATATAATTCAACATAATTTAACAATTATCTTTAACTTTTGTTTATTATCATTGCATAACATATCTTTATTGGAAATTGTTTTCTTCTTAAAAAGAAAGGTCACTTGGAGTCACTTACTGTTAAAACTATCCGGAAATAAGTATTTTAGTACCAATGTTACTTCTTGTAATTATTTTTGCTTCAATTATTCACTCTTCTAAACGTATAATAAGGAGTCTTGTTCCATTGTCCATTCCTAATGCAGGATTGATGTTTCTAAGTAGCATAATTGACATTCCTTCTTTGAGTTGTAAGTAATGGGGAGGAAATCCATTGAAATTTAAAGTATTCAAGAATTTCACAGGATACATAAGCTCTTACTCAGTTATTTTATCAGTTTTGTAACCCATTTGTTTGATGCTCTATTATTATATCTCTCCTTCCATTAGATTGGTCAAAATCTTCAACAATAAGTGTAGCGATTTCAACTGAGGTCGGCTTGTTATACTATCAAGATTCTCTTGATCTTATACCAAGCAACTTGATTCGTACATTTTTATTATTAGATGAAGATAATTTATCTCTTGCCATTCTAAACACATGGGCAATAGGATTATGCATGGCCAACATATCCTTCAAACTTTGAACAATAATGTCGTCAACATTTTCTCTATTATTGAAGGAATGCAATCTATTTTGGACTTCATTTTCTGTATTATGTACATAAAGTTGTAAGAATTTTGGTTGTTGACCTTCTTCTGGTATGAGTGCTCTAATCTTGTGATAATTTTGACCACTAATTCTAAAAACATAGTGCCTTGGTCTTAAATTGATTGTATTGTCAATTTTTGCTCCCATTGATGGAAAAGCAAAAGTAGAATTATATGCTCAAATATTTTGTCTAAATTTCACTTAGCGATGACTACCTTCATAACTAAGAAGATTTTTTAAAGCATCTAGTGGTTCTTGAAGAATTGGTAATTAAATTTTTCCTTGTTGACAATAAAGAGAAAACTTAGGCTTTCTTGGCTGTCACAGTTTATTCGCTCTTTCTACATACCATGTAAAACTATGACAATATTCACAGGTGTAACTTGGATATCCTAAATTCATATATTCTGAATTATCACTAACAATTTTTAAAAAATTATTAATAAATAAGTAAGCATATTTTTAATTTATAATTTGTATGATATTATATTAATTATAAGAGTAGTTATGATAAACTCTATACGTGTATAATCAATATATATTAATAAATAAATAAGCAAATATCATCACAGTTTATAATATTAATACTAATACATGCATGAATAAATTTTTATAATTATTCTTTAATTAAAATAAAAAATTAAATTAATTTTAAGATATAAAATAATTTTAAATAATTATTTGTCAATACAATAATAATAAAATTTTAAATTATCTTATGTATAGTATTTTTATATGTAAACTTATTTTTTATTAAAAATATAATTTAATAACCTATAATATAAACTAATAATTTTATAAGTGTAATTTTTTTATTTTAAAATAAATTTTAGTTTCTGAAATATATATTCAACTATATATTATATTAAACTAATTAATAAAATAATTTGAATATGTAAATTTGTCTTTTTATTAGAAACTTAATTTAATAATATATAATATAAACTAATAATTTTATAAATGTAGTTTTTTAATTAAAATTATATTTTAGTATTATATATAAATATTGAAATATAAATTATATTAAATTAATTAATAAAATAATTTAAATATGTAAACTTATTTTTTTATTAAAAATTTAATTTAATAATATATAATATAAACTAATAATTTTATAAATATTTTTTTAATTTAAAATATATTTTAATATTTAAAGTAAATATTGAAATATAAATTATATTAAATTAATTAATAAAATAATTTAAATATATAAAATAATTTTTTGTTGAAAATTTAATTTAATAATATATAATATAAAGTAATAATCTTATAAATGCAATCTTTTAATTCAATGTATATTTTAGTATTTGAAGTATATATTGAATTATAGATTATATTAAACTAATTAACATAATAATTTAAATATGTAAACTTATTTTTTTATTAAAAATTTAATTTAATAATATACAATATAAATTAATAATTTTATAAATATTTTTTAATTCAAATTATATTTTAATTTTTGAAGTACATATTAAAATATAAATTATATTAAATTAATTAATTAAATAATATAAATTAATGCCATTTTAATTTAAACATTACTTAAAGTAAAGATATAATTTTATTTTCAATTAAAAGGTAACACAAAAATGTATAGATATTTTTTATTCTAATTTTTTTATATAATATAATCATAAATTGTAATAAATTCATCTTTAATATATTTTATAATAATTATGAATCAGATATAATTTTAATTTATAAATTATGAAAAATATTATAATTAATTTTAATAAGTAATAATTTAAGGTAATTTATAATATGAACATTTACGTTGCCGTTTGTAACATAATATAATCATCAATTTTAATAAACATTCATTAAATACAATTCAAAGATAATAAATATAAATAAAATTTAATTTTAATTCGTAAGTTATACGTTTTGAATTTTAATGCATAAAGTAATAAGTAAGTGTAGTCAATAAGAGTGACTTTATAGGTTCCAAATTTTAATGCGACAAAATATAATTTTAATTCGTAAGTTATACATTTGAAATTTTAATGCATAGAGTAATAAGTAAGTGCAATCAATAAGAGTGACTGTATAAGTTCTGAATTTTAATGCATAATATAATAAGTAGGTGGAGTCATGTATATAAAAATGACTTTAAATATTTCAAAATTTAATGCATAGAATAATAAGTAGATGTAATCAATTTTACATGGGATTTAGAGATTATATATAAAGTTGAAGATAGCTTATAGGAATTTATTAGAATTATCTATACCAACAAAATATATTTACTTTTCAGTAGCCTATCACTTAAGAACTCCAAAGTTAGGCGTGCTTAACTTGAGAAAATTTTAGGAAGTGTGTGAGTGAGGACAATAAGGTACCAGAAAACATCTTTTTTGTTTTATAGTTAAAAAATTAATTTCATTATAAAAAATATTTCTTTTAATGAGTATATATATTTCAATAAAAATATAGGTTTCTTATATCAATTTTTTCAATATTAATTTAAAAAAATTTAAAAATATGAAAAAAATTTAATAATAATTTTTAGTATTTTAAATTATTTTATCTCTGAATTTTCATATTTGTAGAAAAATTCGTTATTTTTAATTCTCATATTTTTTTAACATTTTTATTTTAATATATATTATTTTTAAATATCATATAAAATAAAAAATTGATACAATTTAAATTAATTTATATAATAGGTACTGACAGAAGTTTCTATCAAGTAGTAATGAACATAATATAAATAAAATTTTGAAATATAAAATTGCACTTATAAGATTAATACAGAAATATAAAATTTTAAAAAAAATTATGAAAATATGAGAAAATTTAAAAATTTATCTATAATAATGATGTATTCTCAAAAGAGACATAAATGATACTTAACAAAAAAGTTCACTTAGTGTGGAGTGTGAAAGGTGCATGGTTCAGTTCACTTGAATATGAAAAAATTTTAGTTTTTACTTAATAAAAAATTAATTTCATGAGAGAAAGAATGGAAATGTACCTGTCTAGCTTTTTTAGATGTGATAGGCATTTGTTGGGGCTTAAAAGACGAGTTTGTTAAGCAAGATAATTTATATTTTTTGCACAATATAAATAAACTATGTTATTCTACCAACTAAGTATAAATTTTATGAGTTTGACGCTGGTTTTTCTACTCCAAGTGGT